CTCTGGAAGTGCACAGCATGCTGCCAGCTGTCCCCAGCCCAGGGGACACCACTCCATGTCTCTCTGCTGGGCCAGGGCTGCAGGAGGAGCAGTGACTTTGCAGCTGGCAGGGGAGGCGTGAAGGGTACGGCCATCCTTTTAATGCCTTTCACCTTTGCACGAGTCGAGAGGGCGTATTGATTTGGTCTCAGTTTTTTAATGGAGGCATCGATCGACTTCCGAAGGAGCTATGCAAATCGACGGGTCGATGGGCCGCCTATAAATAGACCTGTCACCTTCCCTCCCTGCCTCCGCCCTGGGAATCCGAGCCTCGAAGCCCATCCATCCCCAGAGAAGGGGGAGGATGGGGACAGGACATCCTTCTCCCTCGCCCTACAGCTGCTGTCCCCAGAGCCAGCTCCCCTCCAGGGTGGGCAAGCCTGGGCAGGGATGATGGCTACCTGTTTGCACCTCAAAAGGGCTGTGCTGTGCCAAGCACCAAAGATTTCCCCATGGCGCTGAAAAGCCAGCCAGAACTGTCCCATCTCACCACCACCACCTCTTGCCCAGTGTCAGCCCCGAGTGCCATAAGCACAGTTTGGCAAGGTAATTACAGTGCAGCCCACAAAGCTTCCAAGTTTACAGCCTTATTACGGGACTAAGCCCATTGATGCCTTATTTCTCCTCTCCAAACTCTGCACAAGGGCTGCCCAGTCCCTCAGGACTGTGGTCCACCCTGGCTTGCACATCTCTACCCCAGGATGCTCAGCCACCAGCGAGCCCCTGTGAGGGCAGCTATGTGGCTTTGGAGCGAGTGGCTTTGCAGGAGAATGGTTCAAATGGCAGAAGACAGCTGTGAGCACATGCACAAGCTAAAGCGAGCCTAAATCATACTCTGGGCTAGGAGCAAACTGCTGCCTCTCTGTCTCTGTGATGCCCTGATCCTGCATCCCTTGCATCACAGGCACTGCTGAGGTCAATGGAACTGAGGGTAGGGACAGAGAGCGGGCAATGCTGGCAGCAGCTGAGTTGAGCCATAGAAAGGGCATCCCAAAATTTGCTGGGGCTGACTGATTTGGTGCTGCCAGGCAAGTCAGGCTTGGTGTGCATGCAGGCATCCCGTCCCCACACTATCTCCTGCCAGCATCACTCTGCAGCATCTCTCAGCCTCAAACTGCCTCACGCCCGCAGCCTTCCACCAGAGCCAGGCACAGACTGGACTCAGAGCTAAGGAATTTGGAAAGAGCCAACTCCAGGCTGTGCCACCCCGGCACCAATACCCAGAGCCTGGCACACACCCAGCATCCCCAAAACCAGCCACAGGAGCCACGTCACTCTGCAAATGAAACGCTGAGACAGTGACCCCCTATTTGTCTATATTGGGGGAAACGTGGGGGAATTGATCTCGGAGGCAGTAAAAGGTTTGAGGGAAATTGATTTTTCTCTCCAAGAGATAGACAGAGTAGGGAGGGAGGGATGGGTGGAGGAGAGAGGGAGGGAGTGGGGAGGCCTCAGCCCCAGCAAGCACAAAACCCCGCTTTAAAGATGCACATTGCTTCCCTTTCACCTTTTTTTTTCCCCCCCATGATTTACAGCCACCAGTTGGGTTCACTGCCCTGCACAAGCCCAGCCAGCACACGGCTCTGGCCCAGGCAGCCACAGAGGATGGGGACAACCTGTTCCCAGGGACCTGCACCCCAGACCGGAGTGGGCAACCCAGGAACCCCGCAAACCCCAGCCCCAACCAGTAGAAAACCCCAGGTGCAGACAAAACCAGCAAGTCGACAGGGAGCTGCGACCAGGCTGCAGCCGGCGGCGGGTTGCTCGGTGGCAGGCACAGCCTGGGAGGGATGCACGGGGCTGCACCGGCCACCCGCCTTCCCTTAGAATTAAAAAAAGTCAGTCAAATATCGACAATTAAGACAGATAACTGAAAATGCCGGACTTGATGTTAAGTCGGCTGTAAAAACGTCAGCATGGGGAAAGGGGTCATCTGCAAAAATAAATCAATCCCTTTTACACGCCTACCCCCAAAAATGAGATAAAAAAAAAGCAGAAGGAAGGGCTCAGGGAGGGGGGCTCTTTTCTTTAAAAGTGGATTTCTAAATAACATTTTGGGGGAGTTCTTTTTTTCCCTTTTTTTTTTTTGGTTTTTGGGGGGGGGGGAGCTTAACATTTTCGACTCTATTCTTTCCCTTAAGTGACAGATTTATCCCAGTAAAATTATGTTTCATGCTCAAACTTTGAAGGGAAAGTGGCTACGTAAATGCTGAAAAAATGCAGCGAGACACACTTGATCCCCCAACTGGACTGCGAAGAGGAGAAAGTATTCAGGAAATGTTAAAAAAGGTGAAAGTAAGAAGCGTTTTAATAGTTCTTCCAGACATGGGGGCCTCCCTAGAGATTCATATAGAACAATCCTGAACCTCTATTTTAACATTTACAGACTTGCAACTCTTTTAAAACTTTACATCTGAAAAACTGCTTGTTCTCTTTCTGGTTTAGATCAGTCTTCATTTGCCTCCTTAGCTCTTCAAATGCTTAACCTTTTTTATTACATTTTAATAGAGTTTTTCAAGCCACCACCAGTCCCCTCCTACTGGCCTTATTTAAACCTAGTCGTTATTTAAATATGCACTAACTGCCTTTTAAATCCAGGCATTATAGGTCTAAAACAAGACAGGATTTTTTGCTTGGGAAATTAGCTAATGCCCTTTCAAGCCAGAGCTGCTTTAGGATGGGGATAGTTCATTTGGAAGACTAATGCTGGATGTATGGAATACCATATAGACGGAATTTGTGCTTCGCTTGAACTGCTGAAGTCCAGCACAAAATTTTCAGCCAAAGGAAAAGGAAGAAAGAAAAAAAAATAAGCAGAAGAGGAAGGAAGAAAAGCGTTTCTACTAATCTCCCCAAGCAAGAAAGGGAAATTGCAGCTAATACCAAAGAAAAACAGTTGTGAATCCCACGTGCAACACACGGGAATACGGGCACTTCCCCGATCCGGGTGCAGGATCGGGCCTCGCGGTGCCGGGGCTCGTTGGCCCCGCTGACCCCTGCGTGGCGTTTGACTGTCCTAGTGTGTCATTAGCACATGCAATCAAAGTACTTGGGCTTCGGGTGTCCCCAGCAGAGGGATTGGTCCCTCTGCCCCAGGGGCACAGAGGTTTTTGGGGAGGGGGTGCCAGGGCCGGGGTGATGGCAGAGGGGCCGCGGCATAGTGCAGGCTCTCACACTCACAGAGCCCCCCCCTGCTTTGTCTCTTTACATCTTCACCTGCAGCCGACTGCCTCACTGACCCTCCGCTCGGGATTTGTTTGGGGAAGGAAGGGATGGGGGGTATATCAGGAAAATGCCACTTCAGACAGTTCTAGTTTAGGGAAGGCTTCCAAAGCAGCCATTCACCTTTCCCTGCTTGCCCACCCCTTTCTTTTCTTTTTCAACTTCCTATTTCTGTTCCAAAAAGAAGTCTCAGAGACACCCAGCCCTGCGAAGAGCTGGGCTGAAATGACCGGTGCTGCTCAGCACACCGCAGCCCCGAGCCCTCCGAGTCAGGTGCAAACCAAGAATGAAAAAGAAAGGAGCAGAGCCCATCCTACAAGCACTGGTCCCCTCCCTCGGCATGGGGAACCTGCCCTCACCTCGAATCAGACAGCCACTGATCGCTGACCCCTATGTTCTCCCTTTACAAGCCCCCACAAGCTGAACGATTTTAATGATTTCTGGCTAACAAACAGGACGGAAATCATCAATCGCCGTGCCGGGCTGCAAACACCTCCCCGGCTCCCCCCTGTCGCACGTCCTTACCATGCACATCTCCATCCTCTGCCATCGCATTGATTTTCTTGTTGTCCAAGATCTGCACATGTTTCCCGCTGGTCCGGCTGTACAGCTGGTAGGTACGGACGAGCCGCCGGCTGAGCTGATCTGTCACCAGGCTCTGCTCCCTCACATGCTGTGTAAAATTAGGTGGGGACTGAACAGTTACCTTTAGGAAATTAAAAAATATACGACACACCATTATAATCTCTACTCCTCAGAGGGGCAAATGGGCTGAGCCGAGGTCACTGGCCTCCAGCTGGGCTTTACAGGGAGGCACGGAGCCAGGACCACAGTGGTACCTCCTGCACCAGCAAAGCCTCCCCGGGAGAAGGAGCATTAAGCTCCAGGACACAGCGACCAGAGCCCTTTACAGAGCTGTGCCCACTCCAGACATGCCCTAAGCAGAGAGGTGCAGGTGACTCGGGAGCACAACAGGGCTTGGTGACCCCAGAGGCCTCCCTGGAACTCTGCAAGTCCCAGCTGGCACTGGGGAACCAGAGATGGGCATCAAGGCTGGGAGCTGGAGGGGGTCCGGTGAGGCATGCAGAATGGCACTGGGATAACACATTTGTCCCACACCTCTCTCTCTCCTCTGCAGGAGCATGCTACTGCTCTGGCTGCCCTGGACATACACCCCAGCCATTGCCCTGTCAGCTTCAACAGCTGCCTTTCCTCTGGGTTCCAGGCTCTTTATTTGGTCCCAAACACCCCACTTATTGAGCTCTTCATATACAAAGTCCCCAGAGAAGGTAGAGATGTGAGGTATCAGAATTATAAGAAAACCATGCCCCAGGCTGGGTATTTAGTGGCATAAAAACCTGAGGATACTAACACTACCCGTGCAAACACATCTCTCATCTGCAGACAGATGTTTGGTGCCAGCAGCGGGATTGTCCCCAGCCCCAGCACAGCAAACCCGTTAGCCCCGGAGCCGCAGCTGAGCCCACCCCTCCAGACCCGACGCTGCTGCTCCTGGGCTTTAAATGATTTTCATGAGCGGCCAAACCTGCTCCCCCCTCAGCCCCAGCTCACAAGCTTGCACAGAAGTCTTTTTTCCCCCCTCGTCTCAAATCCCTCTTTTAAGTCTGGAAAGTTTCGCTGCTCCCTGACATTTATAAAGATGTATTCTGAGCAAATGTTAGGAGATAGCTCCTTTCAACATCAGAAGGCTGGGACTACCCCCTGCCACCCCCACGTCAAATGGGAAGATTTCCTCCCGTCTTAAACAACAACAGAAAAACCCAATAAAAGCAAAAGCCGCTGCTCTCCCAAAGCTGGCTTTATAGAGATATCTCCCCTCGACAATGTCATCTCTCTCCCTCTGCTCCTGCCTGTGCATGTGTGTTTCCTATAGACGGGTTTTGGATAATGCAGCAGGATTCTCTCCCCAGCTCTGATGAGGGTACCATGTGGAGGAGAGGTCATTAGCCATGCTGCTGTTTGGTCTCCATCTCATACTCCAAAATATTACAGCTATGTTTTTATACAACTGCACACTCCCAGGACTTTGTTCCCTTCACTTTTCGGCTGGAAACTCAGTTTTTTTTTTTTTTCCCAAGCTTCCAGGAAAATTAAAAAAAAAAAAAAGTAGCTTAAAGGGCATTTTAAACAAAGCTTTTGCACCTGTGATCTCATGGGGAAGGGGGGCTTCACCCTGGTTTGAAGGCGCACCGCTCGCAGCGACGCGTGCCTGCTGGTATGCGGGTGTTGCACAAGCTCTGCCCGGGCTGTTTAATCTATTCATGGCACTTCTGTCTCTGGCGATACAAACTAATGATGTTGAAGTCTGACAATTTTAAGCTGTGCTTTTTAGTCAGGTTTTGGGGTTGGGGGGGTTTTTTTTACCCCTTCTTAATTCTGCTTTACTTTTTGGAGGAAGCGGTAAAAAAAAAAAAAAGAAAAAAAAAAAAAAACAACTGGATAAGAGGAACTGGGGTATCCACAGTGCCATTTAGAGGTGGGGGAAGGGGACCTAAAGCTACTTAAAAATAACCCTGCGCAATTCCTTGAAACCCCGGGTACTCCCTGCCTCCCAGCTCGAGTTCCCCGGACCTTATTTTGCAGCCCGGGGGGGCTCCCCACTCACTCTCGGCTTTTTACAGCCGGGCGACTTTTGTCTCCTGGGTTTTAAACTGTTCCTCCTCCTCCCTCACTCCCTCCCGAGCCCGGAGCGCTCGACGGCGGCTGCGGGGCACCCCCCATCCCCGAGGGGATCCCCGAGGGGCGAACAAAGCCGGGCGGCCCAGCGGGCACTTACCTGGGCTTGCAGGCAGAGGACGAACAAGTGCATTAACCTGGGACGGGGAGAGAGAAAGCAGGAGAGAGG